TGGCAGAGGAAAGTGGGGGCAAGAGGTGGTGGTGGCAGTGAAATGTGTACATTATTAGATAGGATGGTCCCATATTGCCGAAGACCTAAAGGAGCAGCGACTGAGAAAGGGAAATGGATAAATGAGTTTGGAATTGGCCATCACATGCTTGAAATGGAGACTTGAAGATACTGGAAATGGCCTAGGGCATGTGATCACAAAAGTTGGTTATCTTTATTAGTATAATACCATGTCCTGTGTTTGCTGGGTGTTTTTCTGTTCTTCATCAACTTGATACACTGGTTGCCAAAATAATCACAAAATTGAGACTAGCCACGTATACTGCCAACAAGCGGAAGGACTTTAGATTATTAATATCTGAAGACATACTTCTTTTTACTATTATGAATGTAATACTGACATTGTTCTAGGGTTGTGACAGTGAGATTATAACATGCCCTAGCCTTTGGGCTCAATGAGAATACCCATTACCTGTGCATTCACACATCTGCCTTTCTGGATGCAAGGAACCCACATCGTTCCCTCACAACCAATAGTGTTTGTTAGTGAGTGCTTTGGTGTCTAAGGGAGCCAAGGAGTCTCCCAGGCAGAGAATCTCCTATAGGAGCTGTCATTTCTGGTTAGCAACCAGCTCTCAGTGAGTGCCTACCGCGGCCTACTTTTCAGTATGATTTCATTTCGTGCAGGTAGGGTTGTTTTTCTCGCTACGGGTCAGTGCACTGGAGCAGGGCTTCAGATCCTCAGCATTCTTGAATAGCATTCCTAGAGTGACCCAGGAGGCTTCCCAAGAGGGGAGTAGGTGGCTTAGCTCCTCAGCCTCGCTACTGCAGAAACCAGGAGTGCGTCCCCCTTTTCGGATTCTTGACGTCAAGCTCCGACAGCCCTGGAGCCTCGCAAGGGCGGTAGAGAGCTGAGGAGGGGTGGGTGACAGCGAGGGGAAGCCATTGCAGCAACAGCTTGGAGGAGGGAGCTGGACGTCGCCTCTCGCCAGGGAAACGGGGAGCAGGAGCCAGACTAGGGGAGGAAGAGGACCGGCCGGCTCAGGGAATCGCTGAGCTGCTGCAAAAAGGGGCGGGGAGAAGGTGGGGGCGCTGCGTGCAGCGCGCTGGCTCCAGCGGTGGCCGCGGGGAATGTGACATCAGCGGCGCCGGGCGCTTGGGGCTGGAGGAGGCAGCTCGCCTCGGCTGCGCTGCGCACACCTCGCCCGGGGGAGGACGCAGACCGGGGCAGGCGGCAGGGATGTCGGCGAAGGAGAGGCCAAAGGGCAAAGTGATCAAGGACAGCGTCACCCTCCTGCCCTGCTTTTATTTCGTCGAGGTGAGTTGGCCCAGCGCCTTGGCATAATGCAGATCCTCTGGGGATCTCCTGAGCGAATTCAGGTCCCGGACAGCGTTGGAGGCGCAGAGATCGCGTGCCAGGGCGCGCTCCGCTGTCCCCAAATGCCCGACCCTCCCTCTTCCCCTAGATTTCACAGGAGCTCCCCGAAGGTGCCTGTGAATACCTGTCAGCCCGGGGTGATTACCACTAGAGGTGTCGCTGCTGGGCAACCAGGGAAGAGATACCTGTGTGAGTGAGTGTGGTTTTAGTTCCTTGGCCCTCCTGTGTGTCTGTGTGCACAACGTCCGCCAGTGCCCCAGAGGGGCCATGATGCCCATATTTCGGGATTTGTGTCTTCAACCTGCCAAGTACGCGTCGAGAACTCTGTGTGCACACAGCTGTGCCTAGGGCATATGAGGGTTGACGGTGTTTACATAGCACAAATATTGTCCGTTGCTTTTATTACCCCTGTACCCCCAAATCCCTCTCCTGTTATGGTGTTCACATGTGCTTCTAAAATTGGATCTGCATCTCTAAACATTAATCATCAATTTACTGGCCTCTTTCCACAGGAAAAAAAAATACATATTATGTATGTGTGTGTGTACATATCTATATATAATATTTTAAATCTATGACATCATCTGATTTTACATGATTTGTATCTGTGTATTTACTGTGCTGAGCAGGATGACAGTTAAGCAATTAAATGCAGATTTATTCATAATGAACCTCTAACTTACCAAAATGCAGTATTTGCGAGAGAAACAATTCATAGGAGGGTTATAAAGATTGACAGATACAGTGATTCCATGTACTGTACTCCATTGCATTAGGAAGACATTTTTAAGCAAGAGGTTTCTTAAATCACAGATAGAAAGGGGACGTATTGCATAGGTTTAGGGAAATTAGATGGTTTTAAGCATAAAACTATATTCTGTGTAGTTAGAGCCTGGGTTGCATAGAGAATTGTAAGACTGTTGCTGAATTATAAATATCCTTCTCTGGCCATCTTTTCAGCCAAATATGGAGGTTTAGCCCTTCCAAGTACAAACAGTAGATTCTGTATGCAATCATTGCAAAGCTTATCTGTTTTGAGGAATAGTCATTGCCTTGAAATTGGGAAAAGAGACATTGTCAGACTCTTCTTATAGGTAACAATGTATTTAGAAGTTTTGTATAGGTGTCATAGTTTTTCAAATAATTTCAGTTTTAAGAAAGATATATGTGACTTGCATAAGTTTCAGAGAAATGATGGGTGGCCCCTTCATTCATGACTCATTGAAAAGAGACAAATTAAAAAGGACCTATGTATTTAAAATAATCAATTGATTCATTTATTGTCCTTTTCACAAGAGATTTTTGAGACCATGGCTTAGGTAATTTTTGATGAAAGACAATAAACAGCTTTCTCTAGTAAAATGTAGACGACAGAAGATTCCGTGATGAAAAGGGTGAAGGAATGAAAGATGAGATACCTGCCTTCAAATTCAATATATCAGACCACTTGTCGCATTGCTAGTTTTGTGCTATAGTGCTTTCATTTGTGTCTGAGTCAATGACATTTGTCTAGGAGAAATCAGTTAATGGTTGAGTTCCCTCTCCAGGAAGGAGCACACCTGAGGTCAGCAAGAAGCTGACTACATGTAGGTAGCAGCTATATGGCTTCAAGGAAAATGCCCCCATGAAAGAGGATGCGAACTAGAGAATCAAGGATGTGCGTTTACAGAATGTACATGCACACTTCTGAGGCACCTTTAACAGGAGTACATGTCCCTTAAGCAAGAATTTTAAAAGTAAAAGTGCCTCATAATACATTGGAATTGTGTGTTTAGGAATAGACATCTCATAATTGTCACTTCTTTCCCATGAGTGGAAATAGCCCAGATTCATTACTTTTACTTTGGCCCATTCACATACCCTCTATGAAATTTTTCAGCAGAGCATGCTATAGAACAATTACTTAAAGACAATTCATGGAGTTTAAATGAGCATTGATGGCACTGTGACTTGGGGATAACAGACTTCAAAGGCAGATCCACACAATTGGATTGCAAATTATCTTCCTGACAACCAAATGCATGAATCACTAAAGAGCTTCCAGAAAATGGGAGACTGCATTAGTATACCAATTATTTAAGTGTTTGACCAGATGCACTACCACGGTCCTTTGAAATGACTCATTTTGAAGCTGGTGACAATGCACTAAATTTACATCTCCTTTGTAGGATGAATAAACATAGCTTGAATTCGCATGTTAGTAAAATGCTCTAGAGTAATGACACTTTGCTTTACAGTATAGTTTTCCAAGACCTCAGAAGTTAAGATGGAAAAGTGAAGCATGAGTGAATCTCTTTCCACCACATATTAGCCTAAAGCACATATTTTTAGCCTTCTCTGTTACTTGAACTATAATTTAAGTAACAAGAAGAGGCTAACAAAACAGACCTCTGGAGAAAACAGTTTCTGGGTCTCAAGTCAGTGACGCCACGAGCAACTTACACTTTGTCTTTTTCAAAGAATTTAGGAATTTAACATTACAAATTCATGAGAGATATGAGATATAAAGAAACTTTAATTGGGAAAATGAGGGAAGAGAAATTCGCTCAAGCCAGAAGGGGCTGAAATCAAGATGGACTGAGTTACATCAGGAAAATGGCAGCATGCTCTAGGGAAAACCTGGGCCGTACAGACAGATTGATTGGTTCAAACACCACCTTTGCCAGGTACTACATGAATTGATCTAGCCAAGTTACTTCTCTCATCCTTTGTTTCTTCACATATAATAGAAATTAAATAATATAAATATAAATACACATGTATTCATATATAATAGAAATAATTATATGTCTTAGACTATAGAATATATTATGAGGTTAAACATCAGGCCTGTGATATGGTAGGCAATCAAGATATGTTAGTTCCTTTCCTTTATAACTGTCGTGACCTGAAATGGATTATTTTACTTATAGTTTGGATTTAAGGGATCAAGTACTGATAAGGTCTAGCTTGAGAGTTCTCATAGTTAAGAAGTCATCTTCTCCCCGGTTTCTAGAAATAGTTTGGGCTCCACAGGTTTCTTGAAATGAACCTGTATTAATTGATATAAATGGGGAGAGTGAAGTGCTATTTACAGTTTGTACAATAATAAAGACAAACATTTATAAAATACTTAATATGTACTAACAATAGGGTTAAATGCTTTACGTGCATCATGTCGTTCAATCTTCAAAGTTTCTCTTTAAGAAAGAGGCCATCATTATCTGTGTTTTGAAGAAGAAACTGAAACTCATTAAAGTTAGACAACTTGCCCAATTTTATAGAGAAAAGTTAGAGGCAGGGCTGGATATTAACTCAGAACTCATGCTCTTCACCACTGCAATAACAATCTCTGTTGACTTGTTGAAAGAACGCTCAAAGTTACTCTGTATGGTTTCTCACTGGTAAAAATAGGAAGGTGTAATAAGGCAAGGGCATGCTGTCAAAGATGATACAGTTTTCTCTGGCAACAGATCAGCTTCCTCAGCTCAATTCCTCCTCCAGTGGGAGCCTCCAAGCACAAAGAGTTGGTAGACAGTGCATACTCTCCACATTAGCTCATCAGCTAGTGACTAGTGCCCCTCAACAAGGACCCTGGATAGAAGCAAGGAAGGAGTAAAGAGGTCGGCAGTCCATTTGCTGAGTGTCAAAGTATCTCTAATTATATCCCCGAAGGCATTAGGCTGCGGTGTTCAGCCACTAAAACCAAGTAACCTTGTCCTTGTTCACCACCATACCTGATGTTAAAGCACACATTAATTTAAGAGATATAATTATTTTTTCTTACCTCTTTGGTTTATGCTGCTATTTGCTGATAAAGTGGTTTATGGTTGACAGTAATGTTGGACAGCATTTGAAAAACATTGTGATTTTTAGTTTAGCACCTCATTTTATGAGCAAGTTTCATAACTTAGTTTTATACTGTTCAGCCTGGGAAAGCAAAGGTCAAGCAGTAAGAAGAACTCTCAGAGAAGCATACCCATACCCTATTAGGTTGAACAGAAAAGCAGGTAAAAAGGAATGTTCCACTAAAGAAAAGGTTTATCACGCTCTTAAAGTTTCTGAGTACTCTGCAAGAGATGGCTCTATCACTTACAGTGGCAGATGCAGCCAGCAGTGTACCTAGAATTAGCAAAAGAGTTTTCAAACTTAATAGCCCAATAGTATATGTGATAAGGTCAGTTGTCTGGGTGCTAGTGCATGCAAAGGATTACAGTGGTCCCTCTGGGGCTCAGGCTCACAATTTTGTTCTCATTAGTCATCCTGCTCAAAGATCAATGAACTATGTAGTATAAACAAGTGACAAATTACCTTTTTACACCTAAAAACCAATAAATTGTTAAAATAAATGGGAAAGAGATTCTTTTTACTTAATCATTCTGCTACATGACGTAACATTTTTATAACACATCTGTTGCTAACTTTATGAAGGCAGAAGACTTATGTTTGACCTATATGTAAATATATGTTTACAAGGCTACAGATACAGAAAAGAGTTTGAAATTGCCTGTTATTCATACAAGAAAACACACACAGACACATATGTATGCACGCACCTGCACATAGGTATGTACAAATACATATGGAGTGAGAATATCATCTCTCTTTCCACTCAGCATAAAATTACAGTATCTGAAGCATTCCAATGCAGAATATTTTAAACTCAAAAAAGTAAGATTACGCAGAAAGTTTTCATTTTATTTTATTTATTTTCAGGCAGGGTCTCACTCTGTCACCCAGGTTGGAGTGCAGTGGCATGATCTCAGCTCACCGCAACCTCTGCCTCCCAGATTCAAGTGATCCTCCCACTTCAGCCTCCTGAGTACAGGCATGCACCACCACACCCAGCTAGAATTTATATTTTTTGGTAGAGACATGCTGCACAGGCTGGTTTTGAATTTCTGGGCTCAAGCAATCCTCCCGCCTGAGCCTCCCAAAGTGCTTGGATTACAGAGGTGAGCCACTGTGCCTGGCCTATTCAGAAAGCTTTCATTATTTTGAATGTGTACTCAGCAGTAGATACGTTGCAGGATTTTGCTAACGGAGTTAATTACTATAGGGTCAGTAATCAAACAATGTGTTCAGGAGTAGAAGCCATTGCTGCTACTCTGTTACCATCCTACCTAGAGATGTTCAACAAGCCTTTGAGCAAAGTCACCTGGTTAGTTTGGTCTAAACACATTTTGACATTGTGGTGCCTTGACAAAACCTTAACACAATTTTCATTTTCTTCCCATTGGAAAGTATCCACAGATTCTTAATTGTAGCAAACATTAATTCACAAGATTTCTGTTCTATGTCATGATCTATGTAAAAATTATATAACTCATTTGATTTTATTGCTGAGAAGTATTGCTAGTTTATTCCCTTTTACATAAATGTTAGCATCAGTATGAAATATAAAATCACGTTTCTGCATTGCATATACCAAAATAGTAGCTGTAGATTTTTTTCTTCTCTAGATTGTATAGAAGGATAGGCTGCTCAAAGAAGTACTTCAAACTCTGCCAAATGAGATGAGTTGGCAAGTCTTTCCTCTTTCAAAGTCACAATGCATAAAGTCGGATGCAAAATAAAGTAAATAGAGAATAGATTCCTAAGTTTTAGAGATAGAGTTAAATGAGGACATTTCTGCAAATGCAAGTGTTGAACACTAGGGAATTCTTTTCTATTCCTAAACACCACCACGATCTTACTATTTCTTCATGGGAAAGTTACTTGGAATGTGATTCGTTCTACTTTTCTCTATTAGGAAATAAAAATACTTGGCTTGCAAATTTCAAGTATATCTTTAATAATAATAATGATAATAATCAGAGTAATAACAAAGAATAGTCCATTTCAAGTCTTCTTTATATGGGGCCCCTCTAGATACATTATTTTTAGTCCTGAGAACTATCCTACTGAGAAGGCATTGTTATCTTTATTTTTTGATTCAGAAATTATAGCTAAGAGAGCTACTGTCTTTACCAGGGACACATAGCAACTAAATGAAGAAGTCAGGATTTCAGAGCTTGTCCATTGTGCTCTTGCGTTATGACTACGCCACACTGTCTCACACATGCTTCCATCAACAGTGCTAAACCTAGTGCTGAAGTAGAATGGAGAGCCCTGCCTCTGCTGTGAGTTGACTGGCTTGATGGTATCTGGATGCATGTATTTGAAACATGTCTGGTTGTGGCTCTATCAGAGTTGCGGAATAGAGTTTTTCTCTACATTCAGCTCTAAACTTCACTGTGTTAGTGCTATTTCCTAATTAATAGTAACTGGTTTAATTTCTGACATGACTTGAAGGCCCAGTGGCCCCTAAAAAGAAGCTTCCTTTGGACAAGCACAAATGGCTCCTGTGAGTCTTTGATGGACATTAATGAGGATCATTGTGTGGGGATTAGAGGGAAGACTTAGAACATAAATAGAGTTTTAGGAGCATAGAATATGTAGGTCTATTAAAATGTTAGAAAGAAAGAAAACAAGATAATAGAAACAGAGAGAGGTGGGTCCAAGCAGGATTAGAAGAAAAAGCATTAGAAAATTGAAGGTAGGCATGAATTGTGTGTGTGTGTGTAATGGAGATCCAATCTGTGAGCAAACCATGAGACCCCTTTAAACATTTGATTGTCTAAGCTGGCTTGTTAAATAAAGATTACCTGAGACACTATTACTGATGTTTATGTTGGAAATGTATCACAAATATTACAGCAAACACATTTTCTCTAGCATATGTATATGGCATAGGACATTTCTCAAGCAACCTTTTTATTTAAAAGGTGGGGAAATGTCTTATAGAGTTTAAAAGTCTTATTACAGAGGTAAGTCTAATAAAATTATGGAATTTAAGAACATATGGCCTCACTGTTTCTTCTATCACATAAGAACATTTTTCCTTGAAAAGGTTAACTGAGTTAACCTGTAGACATACCAAGTGTGCCTGAAGTACCTAAGGACACTTTGGTTAATATCAGATCAGGAATAGAACCTAGGTCTCCTGATTCCTGTTCTAGTGCTTTTTCCTAATTACTACTATTTCTAGAATTATTTATATTAGAAAGTTTCCCTCTGGATTATAACATTTAAAATACAGGTCATTCTAATTCTACATGTGAACAAGTTGTGGTAGCTGTTTGTGCTAACTTCCAAACACATTTCATGACCACCTTGCATTAAACAACAAGTCAAAGCAATCATGAATGGATCTTCCACTTTTCCAAATTGTTAGGCTCTTTTAAAAGCATGGTAATAGCCAAAGATCAGAAAATTGGAAATGATTTTTTTCTCATTGTCTAAGTGCCCACTTGTAATTTTACAATTAATTACCTTGACATGAAGTCTGTAACACACAGTAAAGGAAAGTATAAACATGGGAAGGAGTAAAAATATAATTTATGTCATCATTCATGGAATAGCTTTGAATTTTCCCTCATACCTTAATGTAAAGTTTTCATACAAGACATTGCTCTGCCTCAAGGATTATTGAAAAGTTGAAGATTAAATCAATCTCTGAGATCTATATGAGTCCTCATATCTTAATTTTACTTATATTTATTTTATGATCTAGGAGCTACATATGGATTGTTTGGGATTTGAGATTTCAAAGAAAGGCATCACTGAAGCAAAGAACTTGCAATTTTAGTTTTCATAGAAAGTTATTTTACTTACATAAGGCACATATACCAGCAGACAAATTTTTTTGCCCATGGTAAAACAAAGTATTAGATATATATTTTTTTACTTTGGTAAAATAATATAGTTTTTTTTTAACTCGATCTACCAACTAGCCTTGTAATCTTGGGCAAGTAACTTATTTCCTGTAAGCCTAATTTTCCTCGTTTGAAAATGATGAAAGTATTATGTTCAGGTGAGAGTAATTATGACCCTTTAATCGTAAACAAATTATAAAATATGGCCAACAATTCTAAAGCAAAGTCAAGCCTGGTAAATGAATTTTCTTTTTTCCACTTACCAACACTCTCTCTCCCATCTTGTCGAAAGTAAACTTTGTTGGTGGCTTTAGATGTTATATGATTCCCTGGAAAAGAGCAGGTTCTCCTCATTGTTTTTTACTGGTATCACTCATTCATGTATGTTTTATATAGTGTACATACAATGGTAGAGCAGTTTATTATAAGGTATAAATACATTAACAACAAACCTTTACTGGAATTCCTGCTCATTTTCATGGATAGAGGGACATATGCACACACTCACAAAATAGAGACCACTTTTTTTCAGTACCCTTACCTTGACCCAGTCAGTGGAGGGGAATTCTTATTTACTGAGCACCTTCTATACACAGCGCCCAGGTAACACTCTCCTGAAAGTCCCTACTCCAAGGTTTTTGGTAGGCCCATACTCTGTGAGCCACTGCCATTCTCATCTTTCCAGAGTTCTACAGTATTATATATAAACTTGTCAGCAGAAATGTCTGTCCAATGCAAATTAAATATCTTCCCTTGCCTCAACCTAACCATCTGTGAAATAAAGAATATTATGCTTTCTAAAAATGATGAATAAATTAGATTTAGTCTTTGGGAATGAGTCATCTCACTTAGGCTACTGTATGATTCACTGGAATCTTTTATTTATTTATTTATTTTTTTAAGGCAGTTGGATACACCCTGAAGAATTAACAGGTTACTTATCCCTTGGGTGATGATCTG